TTTAGATATGGTATTTTATCAAACCATTGTATTGTAAAAATCATTTTTCTTTCACTGCATTTTAACAAAAATGTTATATTTGATTTCGTGTGTACGTTTTCATACTATTTGTTCAAGTATTGTTTTCATTTGTTTTGATTTGTAGATGAGTATGACACACCGATATAAAATTTCGGAGGAAGAACGTGTTCCGGCCCATGTGTCGCAAGTGAGCAACACAAAATATATATCAGTTGTCCTCAACAAATTGGATCCACAGCAAAAGCGTCAGTTGGAGGACAGTTGTATAGGACATGTTGCAAGGTTACCGGAGCTGAAACTATCTGCACAATTAATTCATGAAATGGTAAACAGATCGGTGGTATGCCGAAAGCGGTTTGAGGCTTGGTTCAAGGTGAACCAAAGGTTTGCACGATTTGAACTACCGGAGTTCGCTCTAATTACTGGTTTGAAGTGCAGTCCAGTGCCTAAAGGTGCCGAAGTTGACAAAATCCTAGAAAAAACTCGTCTACAAGATAAAATGTTTGCTAATATGGACCGGATAACATGTAGCGACCTAGAGAAAGTTTTTTTGAAATGTGCCAACCGTAATGATCGTTACAAGTTTGGGTTGGCACTAATTATTGAAGGGGTATTTAATTCAAGAGATCAAAATGTAGGAATAAATTCGATAACTCTTTCTATCGTTAACGACTTGGATTTTTTCAATCCCTACCCATGGGGGACAGTATGTTTTCAACTTCTCATCAAATCACTACTACGTGGATGGGGAAGAAAGGTGGACATGGTAAAAGTGAATGATTGTGATAAGATAACTTACACATTGTACGGATTCCCTCTTGCTGTCCGGGTATACATCTATTTTGGTTCATTTCAGTTCTTCTCATCGCTTATTGTTATTTATCTCCAAATATGGTTATTACTATTACAAATGTCATGCAGATTTGGGCATACGAGACAATTCCGGAGTTGGGAGCTCGATTCTCGAGTAAGACTTGTGACGATGTCTCGAGGATGTTGCGGTGGTCTGGCACGAAACAACCTCATTCCCGAACATATTCAGATTTTTTTTTGAGAAGACAAATGTAGGCGATTTACATACTTAATTGCCTTACACTTCGCAATATATATTATTTTATTTCACCTATTTTTCTTCTCCTGTAGGTGCACTTGTGGGCAACGCTGCGAGCAACTGCTGCAGAAGAATTGCAGCTGTATTTTGTCGATCTAGTTCCGTTGGAAGACACAGCCGACCCCGTTCTAGATGGTCTTGTTGCTCAATCAATAGATATACAAGCTTGTCCAGTTGAAGATGATGTCATACGGAACGATGACAACAATGACAACAACCATCGACCAAATAAATCCCATAGAGGCAACAAAAGTGGACATCGTCATTGAGACTTGCATCACGTTGAAGGTGGAGAAGAAGAGCATGGGGATTCGATCGTTGAAAGACCTGTGTCTTTAGATGAGATAAGAGTTATCTTGAATGAACAACGGGAGGCATTTGAGAGCAAGATGGGGGATTTGAGGGAAGAAATGAACACAAGATTCGCTAGTCTCCAAAATGATCTGGGAGGTCATGTGTGTGGTTTGAGAAATCATGTCACTGATGAGATGAATGTTCTTCGACGAAGGTTTGATGAAGTTGTTACAGAAATTGGACAACACAATGATGGTGCTGAGTATGGTGGATTTGGTCATGACGATTGCAGTGGAGACGAGTCCCGACGTGATGTTTTCACTCCCAATATTTCTGCGGACAGACAGGATGTCGGAGAGGCAGCCGAACCAGTTGTTTGCAATATCCCTGATGTGTCCATAACGTTGGGAGGTGGGGTCGGAGTACTTGGGTCAGTATATGTTGCTCGTGATATTGTGAAAGAGGCACCAGCCGTTGTACCTACAGTTGGTGTGACCATTGATGATCAACTGGTTCATGATAGCGTCGTTTCTGGACCTTCGATGGCAACTGATCCACCTACACGTAGACCTCAATCATTGAGGCTGAAGAAGGTTAGTGCAAACACAAAGACGCCATACACTCGATCTGGTCGCAAGAGGGGTAAGAGGGATGCGTAGAATTTAGAGGTTCGCCTATTTTAATTTATATGGTGGTTTTTCAATATGTATTTTGGTTTATGTCATGGTACAGAAAATGTATTTTGGTTTAGACAGTGGTTTGCATATTTTTGTTTATATGGTGGTATGTAATATTTTGTGGATGCAAACCGGTGGTTTATAAGTTAGTGACATGTTTCGAATGTTGTATGTTGAAAATAGTTTATATCTTTATTATTTCATATAGTGGAGTAGAAGATGCCAATGTTCTAATGAAATGTGGAGAAATACTATATTTTAGTTGAAATGTCGTTCTATACAAATGTACTGTCAAGTGTCCAGATTAGCAGACATTTAATGTCGAGAACTACACGTCAAATGTCAAGAAATGAGTGAAATGTCAAGAAATATATTGTTTCAATATAAATGTTAACGTCCCTTATATTTTTTTTTCAATAATATGTGAACATATGTGTCATTCTATGTGATCATGTATGTGGAAATAAAATAAATTTCGCGCTACTTAGCAGTTAGTAAGGAAAAATTGATTAATTCGGTTAACTTTAATAAATTAAATAAATTTATCGAACATTTTTTTTCAATATAAAATTTGAATTGTACAAAACGTTAATTTATTTTTTTTGTGAATATAAAATTTTAATGGAAAAAAATGAATTAAAAAGAAATTTATAATTTGTCAAAAAGTTTCAAATTGCAATAGAAGAAAGTTTAAAGAAACCACTGATATATATATATATAATGTGTGAAAAATATTCAATTATGACAACACAACAAGCGAATATATTCACTATATACAGAATCTATCAACAACATTCAATTATCGTAACACAACAAAATGGTTCTTACATTTACTCACATGCACACTTTTAGCTACTTTTTCTCATTCATTCATTATCCTCACATTCACTCCCCCATCCACACATTTAGCTACAATTATTTGTCACATTCACTCACTCTTCACACGTTTTAATTAATTTTAGCTCCTTCTTCTCATTCATTCCCCCATCCACACATTTAGCTACAATTATTTGTCACATTCACTCACTCTCTACACATTTTAATTCAAGTTTCATTCTCACATTCATTTAACCGGAAACATTTCCCACATTCACTCAAAAAAGACGCTCATTTGATCAGAAAAGGTAAGTAATTCAAAATTTATATTTAATATTTGTGCTACTTAGTAGTTAGTTGAATATCTTGAAAGAAAATATACTTTTAAATTATAATTTACTCGAAAAACCTCGTCTCCGTGTCACGGAGATCGCTTCTCCGTGACATGAAGAGAGCTTCTCTCCATGTCACGGAGAAGCGCTGCTCTCCGTGACACTCTCATAGTATCACGGAGACACAGAAATGCA